TCAATTCATRTGACAKCAATTSTTGGACATWAGATATGAATTGTGATGACTAGTTACAAAGAGGCAATGCATAATGATGTTGAAGTTATTCAGCTACATTGAAGAACTAAATCCCATGGTTAAGAACTTCCAAACTTACTATTGACGAGGTTGAAACACTTTGTTTTATCTATGAGATCACTAGCAACCGGCATCTAGAATTTTAGATTGTCAATTGCTTTTTTGACGTTATGTATCTTGTCATTGTGTGTTATTAATATTATAACTACAGTCATGTGCTAATTTTTTTTAATTTCTCTAAAAAAGCTTGTGTACATGATATTTAGAAAGAAGGAGGCCAACTATAAGTGTTTGGAATAAGGATTATTTTTGTCGTCGAGAATATTTAGAGCTAAATGATGAAGGATTTGGAACATGGCCATTTATTCGGCATGATGGCATGCATGAAGACAGATCGTGGCCAGATGTATTTGCTGAAAGAAGTGTGAATCCAAAGGTTTCATCGAAATCAAAGCTGCAGGTACCTGTTTGTTTCAATATGTATGTTATAACTTAACGACACAAATTACGATTATGGCACCAAATGAAGTAAAACAATATGATGGATTATGGAATCCCTTGATCATAGAGTTTATGTTGATTCTTAGACTCCCACATTATGACACTTTCTGGTATACAATGCTTACACATATGCACTACATTAAGAAAATTAGGGGATTCACTGAGATCACCTTACGTTAAGAGATGCCTAGAGATCGATACGATAGAGATAACAATAKAGRAGAAAATATRTTCTTGGATAAATGTTGTCGTAGAGCAAATCTGGTATGTACATACACGTTTTATCTGTTTTTTCATCAGAAAAGCATCCTACCTTTAGAGCTTTCTCCTCAAGGAAGTCCAACGTCTTTGGTAAGGTACTTTTCGACATTCAAGTCCTTCTCTCATCAAATAAATAAATTATATGCATGTATTCTTCTAATCTAATCTTTTGGTCTCAGGGCATAATGGAATAGAAACAATGGATGCTTGGAAATTGAATCCTGCTTCGAAATGATGTGATGTGGTATGGATATTTGTCAAAACTGTTTATGTGCATTCATACAAGGCTCTCATCCATACAACATACTCCAAGTGGTAAATTCGCCATTCTTGCACTTGAAACCTCCATATATGTATACAAGATGCTTAAATGACATATCACAATATAAAGTTATAATCCCTCTGATAGCTTTCATATCTTGTTATATTCTTATTAAAGAGGAGTTTGAGCCATTTAATTTGTCAAGAGTCCAAAATTACCAAGACAACTTTTTCTGGGAGATCTTGATATCACAACAGTTCCTTGGCTCCTTGCCCCATGATTTAATGTACATACAACTTGTACGACATGAAGTTTGTTTGTGGCTTTACTTATCTTGGATAAGTAGTTTATTGATGTAAAACTCTAAGTCATCAACTCATGCATTTGAGATTGTAAAGAGACGATTGTTAATCAAATCTCATTTTTATTGAGAACCCGGGGAACTAAGATAACCAAAGGAACTTTGGCCTACTAGTATCTAGGCTTGTATATCCCATGTGATCCAGATTCGGCCAATGCTCTTAAGTCGTTGAGCCAAGCATGTTGTGCGTCCTTGCTTTGACCAAACCTGAATCACATATATTTTTAGTCGTTTTATCTTATTAACCATGTTCTCATTTAAAAATCTCTCTCTCTCTCTCTCTCTCTCTCTCTCTCTATATATATATATATATATGTGTGTGTGTGTGTGTGTGTGGCTTTTCCATGTTAGCAATTTTATTGATGATTGAGCCACACCGAGAAGTCTAATCGACTTGCTTTAACAGAGTCCGAGCTTGCTTCAACCAAATCCGAGCTCTTCCTTATGAAGGATGAAGTCGTTGAGTTGCGACAAATGGTGAGGTCAATTGTATCCGGCCGGTCAGTTCCAAGTTTTCATTCTCATTAACTGTTCAAGACCAACGTTCGGAGACTCAAGATCGTTAAACATGCTATGATGATTTTGGATTTTTTTTGTTGGTAAATTTAGACGATATATGAACTAGTTGAATATTAAATTTGGATGGTTCTTATAT